TCCGTCCTTTTTGTTTCTTTTGTGTTTTCTTCGTAATCGTCATTCCTGCGCCTCTCCGGCGTGCGCAAACCCCCTTGCTCCCCTCAGCAAGGGGATCTGCGCGGCTTTGGCATTTGCCTCCGTGTCTTCCTTCTGTACTCGGTCTGTTCTATGTATTCTCTCTGTTCCTTGTGTTCCCTCTGCTTATTCTCTTTGTTCCGTCCGTTCCCTCTGCTTACCTTAAGGCATACTCACACTTGGACTTCTTCCACAGAGCTCTGGACATGATTGTGGTCAGATTCATCCAGGTCTCTGGCCAAAATTGTAGTCAAATACGTTCAGGAAAGTGCTATTGTGAGTATATGCCCTTAGTGTCCTGTCTTGCCGCGGTTAGTGTATAACCTGCTCATTTCTGTGTTGGCCATGTTTCACCGCACGTCTTTGCGCGCCTTGCTCGTGTTTCTTCGGCAAATCCGCCAGAGCGGCCTTCCTTCTTTTTTTTTTTTTTTTTTTTTTTTGAGAAGTTGGTCACCTTGATTACAAATAACAGAAGTTTGGAAGAGGCCGGGGACCTCACAATTCAACCCGGAGGATGAACATACTGGGGCCATTATACCCAGCAGCGGCAGAACTGGAAACCGGGTCGAGTGTCCCATTTTCTCACTCTGTTATCTCAAAGAAGATTCTCAAAAAAATTCCCCGGAAGCGCAGTGAAAAGGTATGAATACCTGTCCAGCAACCTAAAACTTTTTAAGTGCATTTCCGAGCGTGAAGTACCAGAGCTGCCTTTTTTTCCCCCTTTTTTCTTTTGGGGGGTTAACTTCAGTAGAGTCACAAAAACGAGTTATAATTGCACTATGGGGCAAGATACAGTTTGCAATTGCACTTTCGGGCACCGTACCGGGCCAGAAAGCTGGGTTGTATACATTGCCCGAACTGCAATTCGAAACTTTATCTTGGCCCATAGTGATAATTGCACTTTGTGTTAATGCTCTCTCAGTCTCTCGCTCGCATGCTCACTTGCACGGCATAACTCTCTCTCTCTCTCTCTCTCTCTCTCTCTCTCTCTCTCTCTCAATCTCTTTGTCTCCCTCTCTTTCTCTTTTTCTCTCTTTCTCTCTTTCCATCTCCCTCTGTCTCT